CTTCCAGGTTTTTGGTCTTGCTTCTTTTTTCATTTTTGTTAAAGTCCTCATTTTATCTATATAAGCACAGGTTTCAAACTCCTTTTCAAAATCTGAAGAGCTTTTGCTGTATATGCAATTATATCTGGAATGAGAAAAGATTTGGAGTGTATATTATGCCACTGCTGTTTGATTATTCAGTTACACTTTTGAGCTTAATAACGATTGCAGCCAGAACATCCCTACTATAAAGGGCTATTTGGCTTGTCCGAAAATAACAATGGACTAAGATTCTCTTTATATTAATCCGAATGTTGCTCTAAGATATTACTTTCTTAAAGCATTTTAGTGTTTCTGATTCTGGGAGAGCTGAATTTCTTCATCTTAAGCTCTAGTGGTTTGTTTGGATTTTATTTATTTTCTTTTCGTCACAAATAGGGAGGAGCTAGTAAAGGACGCTGTTGAACGGGGCACCAAATTGGTACAAGCAGTTGCAGATGCCCTCTTTAACTTACCTTCAACTGAAAATCCAGATGGTCCCATTGTCAAGTTGCCTGCACCTACAACAAGATTGCCAAGAGAGAAGCCGGTATTCTCTACATTCTCATTTATTTATGTACTTGTAATAAGAACCAGATTAAAGATCCAAAAAGGAAAGAAAGAGATAAAAACAAGAGAAGGAGAAACAAAGGGAAGGAATATCTTTTTTGTATGATTCTCAAATATGGGCAACCCCAAATTTATTGGGAAGTTTGATGATATATCATTCTCTAATATGCATCAAATTCCTGTTTCTTGTTTTGTTTGCTTGGGTGAATAATAACAGTGTTAGTAATCTGAACAAAAGGATTAACTAAATTCGAACCTACCCGTAATATCCTTTAATGTAGAATGAGTTTGCAATGAATAAACAAGAATTGAATATCAAATTGAGTTCATTTATTCTGTAGATTAGGAGCAAAAGCCATCAATTGTTAATTGTTGTTTCATTCTTAGAAACTTGTTGTCACACCACTTAGAGTCCATCATTAAATTCCTGAAAGATGTCTAAAGTTCACCTACCACTTAGAAAATAATTTTTACTGTTTACTTTCTAGTGATAAAAATTGAAACTCACTTTGCTCACTTTAGGATTTCATTTGAATTTAGATAACTCAAACATAATGGGCAAATGAATAAAATAAGCAAGCATTTAGCTGGAAAAGAAGGAACATTTGGGTCATTGAACTTGGAGGAATAATTTCTTCAGTTATTTAATGGAAGGCATAACATGGATCTTGGGGATATGCCAAATTCTATTAAAGATAAAATTCTGACAAGCACTAGAAGAATTATGCCTCCGAAGTGTGTAGAAAGGATAAAGACGAGAAAAGCAATTTGTTCAGATGAAATTTCTATTGTGGTACAGAGTCTGTATGAGGTGCATACTTTTTGTTTGATATTAACTAATGGGATCTTAATTAAATAGTAAAAAAATGTCTAATGAATTGAGAAAGGGTGTTAGTATATGGGAGCATGAATATGAAATTGTTAAATGTTGGGATTTTTTGTTAGTATCTTGTGCTTGATTTTCTTTCAAATTGCTGAATAAAATGGCCGATAGAAAGAGCAATAATTTTGTTAACGAATCATGCATATAGATATCATAATTTGTATTATACATTGTAAAACTAAAGGGGAAAAACCTTGAGTAACCTTTTCCTTTTCAATAGAGGGATCAGGATTAATTTATGCTAGCTGATGATTGCAGGATGTTTGTTAATAGTAGCCACGTTCATGGTTGATCATCTCTTACCTTTTGCATGGTTTTTAACCTTTAAGATTATTTTTAATACTAGTATATGATTAAGGATCTCAAATTTTTCTTTTTGTTTTTCAGCTTCCCAAACCTAGACCACCTACAAAATGGGAATTGTTTGCTGAAAAGAGAGGTGTGGTTCTAATACATGAAGCTGCTTCTTAGTGCAATTAATCTTTTGAGTAGAAGAGCTTTCTTTTTCTCGGTTCTGATTTGACGCAATGGTTCTAATTTGTTAATCGTGTTAATTTGACATATCATGCAGGTATTAATAAACGCAAGAAAGACAAGCTTGCCTTTGATGAGCAAACTAGTACTTGGAAGCGGCGTCATGGCTATGATCGTGTAAATGATGACAATGATATACCAATTATTGAGGCCAAGATGACGGATGGTAAATAAATTTGAGTTCTCTTGCTTTTCTCTTTCCACTCCAATAATTCTTGTCGAACTGGGGCTGAGTGATAATTTTTTTTTTTTACTCTTCAAATAGTATTGTCGACAGCTACAATTGTTGAAAGAAACCTTCTTATCAATCATGTATTAAATTGATGGTTACCCATGAAATTTTACTCTTGAGTTTTCATGTATTCAATTTTAAGCATAAATTAAAATGTATGTATGCTCTCTTGCTCAGGATGGTGATATTCCGGCTCATTTCGATGATATTCGGGACAATCTTTGTAACATTTCTATGTTACAATACAATTTTGTAATAACCAGCGTTATACTTTTTCAGAACCAGGAACAGATCCTTTTGCTGAGAGACGAAAAGAGAAGAAAAGCAGAGTTGACAAACAAGAGAAAAATAGGATGCAGAACTTGAAACAAGCTGCGAAAGTTGGAGCCTTGCCAAGGTTAGCCTTCTTCAAATTAACATTTCTATTCAAGAGTACGTTTAGAAATTCTTGGTGTTAATTTATAAGAATGGAATTCACACGTCAGCATTGTCATAAATATTATGGAAGCAATACTACGGCTTAATACTTTAAATTACAATTAACCTTGAGGGGTTGTTCAATTGGTCAGGCTTTGGGTTTGCTTCCCAATGATCACCAGTTCGAATTCTTTCAGGGCCACTGAGGTGAGTACCCGGCCGTAAACTTTAGGGCCCCGTGGAATTAGTCGAGGTTAATTTAATTAACAAATCATACCGTATCTGTTATCTACGTTCTAATTATTAATTCTTCATTAACCATGAGGGGTTGCTCAATTGGTCAGGCCTTGGGTTTGCTCCCCAATGGTCATCAGTTCGAATCCCCTCAGGCCACTGAGGTGAGTACCCAACTGTAAACTTCAGGGCCCCGTAGGATTAGTCGAGGTGCGCCCTAGCTGGCCTGGACATCCACAGTTATAAAAAAAAAAAAAAAAACTTTAAATTACAATTTACAGGGAAAAAATTCACTTTGATAGACTTCTTTTTCACTAGTGTCTGCAATTTGATGAAAATTGTTCCTTCGTATTTTCCATCCTTGCAAGTCCATAGAACTTCTGCTTTTCATTCTACTAATGATTTTATGTATAAACTTACTCCAATGCTATTCATTTGTACACGAGTCATTTGCCTGCATTCAGTGCATTGGTTATAACTTGTCAGAAAATACTGTCCATGCCAAATACTTAAATCATACTGCAACACACAATCTGATTTAGTTTCTGGTTTGCAGCCATGTTCAGCTTGCTGCCACTGCATTACCTATTACAGGAACCCAAGCAATGCCTAGAAAAGTTGGCAAGGATGAATTACAAAACGTTGCTGGAATGGCATCGACTGCAACAGCCAGTGGTGGAAAATTTGACAAGAAATTGCCTGGAGAGAAGGCCCCAAAACATGAAAAGAAATACAGGAAGGTTTGTGCAATACATGAAACTCCTTATCCTTGAGAAATATTACAATGTGATTATAAGCATGTTCGGGATGCAGTGTTAGACTATACTAACTGTAAGCATGATCCAATCTACTTTAGCAAACATACCAATAAGGTCTAAATGCATCTTCTATTTGTCTTCCCTCAGTTCCTACCAGCTGTAGAAGGATCGGGAATGGGTGCATTAGAAAAACAGCAAACTGAGAAAGTGTTGAATAAGTTGATCTCCAAAAATTCTCATGGCGTGCTAAATGTTGAAAAGGTTAAATCTTCTTATTAGTGCTTGTAGATTTCCTAAAAGCTTTTTCTTCATTTTATTACACAATTTGGAAGCAAATTGCAAGCTTCAATTTTTCTGGATTGGTTTTGTTTGGGTTTTAGGCTGTGAACATGTACAATGTGAAGAAGGAAAAGAAACGAAGAAACAAAGACGGGGGAAAGTCATCAACCCCAAGCAAGTTGAAGTCGAACAAGAAATCTTTCAAGAAAACATCGAAGGGAGGATCTTCAAAGAAGGGGAAGTAAAATCAATGTCCAATGATGGATTTTTTTTTTTCGATAACTTGGGAGGACAGAATATTGCCCTTTTTTCTCTATTTATATTGAGCTGAAGATATCAGCTGCCTTATTTTGTGTTGTATAAACATGCCTCTCTGGATTAATTGAATCAATTGATATGATGCAAGCTGGCAAGATCAAATTCTTTCGAGGAGCTAGAGAAAATTTTGTGATTTTGAATAGTTTAGTGAAAAATTTAGTGATATGATAAGAAAGTGTTTGGCGAAAAATTTACTTAAAAGTGAACTTTTGAAGCTAGCCAAACATGTATCAAATGTGGAATGCTCGATCTATCAATTAATTGAAGTGACACATTCGAGACTATTTCCTGGTGTCTTTTTTTAACGAGATTTTCTCAAAATCAAGATTCTCACGAAAAGGTGAAAACGACATTAATGGCGTTGAATCCCCATATTGTCAGCAACAATCCTGTTGAGCAATTCCAGAAACGAATACCCACCAAAATTCCTTTTCCCAAAAACAATGCTAGTCTATGTGGTAGATTCTCCCTTCCTCTTCTTCTACTACCTCATAATCTTCATTTTTGTTCTAATTCTCTTCCGTTTTGCAATCGTTTTTTTCTTCCTCGTACTACTTTTTGCCCTGTGCTCCGACCTCGTTTACCTCTTAACTTCTCTCCTATGTCCCCCCTAACCTCGTCATAAGGACAGTACAACTTCCACTGTTTTTTCGTGTTATGCATATATCGCTTATGGGTGGGTGTGTGTGTGTGTTTTTTTGGTCTAATAAAGAGAAGGGTGCAGGGGATTTTTGAACAGGAACTGGGACAGTGGACCATGCCAGATGCCACCGAGTCTGGTTTGGTTTTGTTAATGATCTGTCAAGGTTTTTTCAGTGCCATAGGTCCCGGCTTTGAACGCAAACCGTCTGATCAAAAGTGTCATTAGGTCAGGCTAAGGCAAGAGGTGGATTAGTAATACTAGTGTTGTTGTTTTGTGATTTTCCTTTTTATTTATTGCATGTTATGAATAAATTCAAGTGTTTATAATTACTTCTTAGACTCTATATGTAACTGATTAATATTATTGTTATAAAATATAAATGTTACCTATGTGTTGTTAGTATTTCTCATGTTCTCAAATGGCTTCATATTTAGATGTGATATTCAATTTTGATGTCTTTCACACATTATGTGCCCGTTTGACAAAGCTATTGAAAAGCCAAAAGTCGCTTTTAAACATGTTTGAATAATTGTTTGAAAGTGCTCTGTAGAGCTTTTAAAGAAAACTAATGTAAGTGAGTTTTGCTCTTATATAGGAACGTAAGCAAAAGTAGGAAGAAGGGAAAACAGAAAATTTCAGTTGCAAAACACATGCAGTTTGCTCATTTATACCTTTCAGTAATCGATGTTCCGTTACCTCTGAGAGTGTGAATAAATTTCGATGCTATTGGTTTCTGTTGTACTAGATTGTGTGTCTTGTGAGCTTGCAGTCAAACATCAAGGATGAAACGAGGTCTACTAATCCTAAATCTTATGAGGTGAACGCTAAGAAAAATCCTTGTGTGCATTGATGATAATTTTGTTGAAGACGAGGTTTCCTCGCTATATAATCTACCAGACGACGTGAAGGAAGGGCACTTTGCTGTCCATACAGTCGATGATGGTGAATCAAGGAGGTCTATAATAGAGTTAAGTTACTTAGCTCACCCAGGTTTTCTGAAACTTTTGCTGCAAGCAGAGGAAGAATTCGGTTTTAGACAAAACGGTATTCTTGCTGTCCCTTGTGATTATGGTGACCTCCAAAGACTTGAAAGCAAAGAGAGTTCGGATAGTGATTCAATAGTCTGTCGTTTCACTCTCGTGTAGTTTGTTGCATCTGTTTGTTATTATATAGTATTCCCTGAGACCGTAATTTCACTAATGAGGTTGTTCAATGTTGTGTGGAAAGTATCTACGATTGATTTAATTATTTTACCTTCAGAGATGGTTCTAAGATTTGAGAGAGAATTTGATTACTGCATTTGATGTTATGTTTTGTGCTTGCTTCTGTGCCTGCAACATATTTCATCATAGATTTACTTAATCCTACATTTATCTACTACTAGTATGTAACCTGTGCGATGCCAAAATAACATATATAGAATCATCAAATCATAGTGCTTAAAACATGCTAAACAAGTATATGCTCGACTAAATTCAAAAATATGAAGCATGCAATGTTCGACTACTACAATATCAGAAACTCGGATCCTGTTATCTGTTGGAAGAAATCTCTTCCAAGTTCTTTCGACTGCTTCATCTCTTAGGTTCAATAATAGTACAGTATAGCACCTATGTCACTTCAACTTCGCATCAATGGACAGAGGAAATGCTTTTCCACGATGATTGAAGATCATAAAATCCAGATTGGAGGGCAAGGCAACAACCCTACATCCCAGAAGACACATACTGACCAAATTAGTAATTTAGAATTGTATTCTAGGAAATAAAACAAATAACTCCATTAAATTTACCGTGTGGATATTTGCTTCATAAAGTCTTTCATAAAATGAATCTAGAATTCACCTTTAACACAAATAATCTTATTTGGTTAAGGAGACAAACTTGCTAATACATCTTTGATTTTCTTGCGTGAAACAAACACAAAAATACATGGATAGAAATGTATAAGTTCCTCAGACATCCCCCATTCACACTATTTATTTATTTCTCGAACAAATTTAGGGCATTAGAACATCGTAGCTAACATGATAATACAGAAGAACAAAGGGATGCAAAGTTGCACAATAAACTTTCTGGAAGAAGTCAGCTAAGTTTAGCTTGACCATTTGCTCTTATTTCAATCTCCATGGTCCAAGTCTCAGAAGGCCAAAATCAAACCACAGGACAAGCTTCTAGAGAGTCGTTCAGCTTTATCACACACACATACAAGTGCATATATCGACTCCCACTCTCCGTAACTTAGTATATTTTGAACTGTCAATGTACGAGAGTTGCAGTTCAACAATTGGAAATAATTCAACACAATTTTGAAAGAGACATTCAATTACATGCTTAAAACAAGTATAAATCATGCTGGAGTTTGTATTATTTAATGCTTGCATTTGGCCCCTCCTTGTGCCCTGTGTCAGGGATTGTATTAGCCACCATCTAAGTACAACCCATATACCAGATGGGGGAAGATTGGAGAAAGAACAATTTCTCTAAATAAAAAGTTCCCTCAAAATTTTGAGAATCAATTTCCAACCAAAGTCATAGAAATTAAAGCACTAACAACTCATACCCTACAACTCATGGTTCTACAGTCCAGCAAAACTGTTTTTGTGACTCAAACTGCATAGCCATTTATGAATTATGTAAATATTTGAAGCAATTACCTCCAAAAGTTAGTAAAGTGGACTCCAATTTTCGATTTTATATCAAAAGTATGCTGCAACAAATTGAAAAAGGCCCAGAAAAAGATGCAATTATACTTTTAGAAAAAGATCACAAGAGCAGGGGCGGAGCCAAGAATTTAATTTAGTGGACCCGTAGCTTTTAAGTACAAAAGTTTTGAAATACGACAATAAGAATATTAAAAATGTAATATATTAAATTGTTCTTTACGGGTTTTCATACTTAGATATCATTGCATAATGGCCTCACTATTACTATCATCAAGGATTCATTTGTAAGTATGCTCTTCCAATTTGATCTCTAACATCAACATCATAATCCATAACTAAAATTCTTAGTCCAGGATTCGAAAGAAGTTGTGCAACAACAATTCTTCACTAATTGATTTATTTACATCATCATTTTATTCCATAGGAAATAGAAATTTTATTTTGAAATATCTTTGTAATTGTAGCATATTGAATCTGACAAACAAAAAAATAGACATTATTTGGAATAAAATTTACAGGTTAAAAGAGTTACGCTACGTAAAAGATGCAACAAAAATTCTTGAAATATTTAACCATCACATTTCAAAAGAACAATTATTCTAAGCTGAAAGAAAAACTAGTTAAACCAAATATCGATAAAAAAAATAAACCACACATGAGAATGAATGAATGTGTCAAAATCAGAAATGTTATTTCCATTGGGGAATGACCTATTGTATTATTTTTGAAGAAACAGCCGAATTTGCCATTGTAAAGTATCTTTTCATTTAATTCAAAGTAATCCACATCCAGGCGTAGAATTTTATGTTGCACAAGCCATCTCTGACTCTACAAAAGGGGTGGATTTTTCAAAGGATCATTGCAAATATATCAAAGCATCTTCATGACTTCATTGATTATTGATGAATTTCATATATGGACCATGAAGACAACCAAAAACTTCAAAAGTAATGTTTGATTCCCATTTTTGGGGTAAAATGTTTTATGGAATAGTGACTTTTTGGAGAATGTGTGGCTAAAAAGTAAAGAAAAGTTTTTGAAATGCGTGTATAATTATTTTATTGGAGAATGTTTGGTTGAAAATGAATTTTGAAAAAATGCATTCTTGAGAAAATGGGGGTCAAACAGGGGCTTAATATCAACTGGTGCTTGGGAATCAATTTAACTTTTTCCTTGTCAATCATTCTTGAGAAAGTTTATTAAGAAACCTAATCCTGCAGTTTTGACATACTAATGAGGAAGATTGCAACATAACACTAGAATGAGAACAAGATAATAGTAAGTTTCAAAGAATGAAAAAATTGACAAGTAACTTCCAGAACAGATCAAGATAGAAAGATCTCTGAGTACTAAATAAGTGAAAATTCCATTCACCTACAAAAATGCTCTTAATATTGAGCAATGTTAGCAACAATGACCACTCCATAGTTAATAATTGCAAAAGATTTAAATTTAAACCACATGCCATCAAGAATTATTGCGCAAATTTTTATTTCCACTGCAAGCAGATATGAAAATTTTCATCTCTACTGTGAGAAATAAGAAAAATTCTTCCAAAATTCAGAAAGCAGCTCGTGTGATTTACAAGTCAATCTTCATAACAAATATATTTACTCATTATATTCCCAAGTATATCACATAGATACCAGTATAAGATTATTAAAACGGATAAAACCTCAATGAAAGTCAATATATTTCATTAGAGCCTATTGAACCACTAAACAAAAGCATGTTGAACAAATCAATGAATAAAAATGCCTCTCTATTGACCCAATTCAGGTTCTTCTAGCATTCACTCTAAGCACCGTCAAATCAAAATATGCTATACCAAGCTGGATTTTGAATATTCTCAAAATAATCATTCATACTATACCTTTCGATTTAGCTTGGTAAAGAATAAAATGATAAAAAAGACAGAAAAAAATGTATACCGGTTCTCATCAGACTGGGGAAGTATCGACAGGAACTTTCCGGGCACAGTTAAAGCAGCCCACATGCATAACACTAACCCTGCAATCAACTCCATCACCACCTGCAATTAACTCAAACCCTAGACCCATAAATAAACACATCTACACACACACAATCATCAAAACCAAATAGAAATACAATTATGCATAACAACGAGGACGGGAATTGAGAATTACATTGATGGGAGGACCAGTGAACTCGTCCTCAGTTATTTTCAGCAAGGACCTGTCTGCGAAATCGAAAATTGAAAAAAAAAATGGGAATTAAGATAAGTAACTTTAATTAGATTAATCCCAAAAACTGTGGCGAATTGATGAGATGAGGGTACACTGGATGGTGGAGTAGGCTGCGTGTGAGAGAAACAGAACTCCGAGAACACCGACGACGAAACCTGCGCCCATGGTTACTGTGTAGAGAAAAATAGTAGATCGGTGGCCGGCGAGGAGGAGCAGTGTTTTGACCAATTAAATTTCTCGTAACAAAGAGACTTGCGAGTAATTAAGTATGGTTTTGGTGTTCGATAAAAAAAAAATTGGTAATGGTTATATTTTGGTAGCATGACAAAATGTCTCGCACAAATAATTTTATTCTTATTTTTATGTCTTCAAAGTTTAAATTGTAAGCAATGGTAAGGTTTTCTCTCTAGGTCTCTTGGAGTCTTAGCTTTTCCTCTCCAACTTCTTGTCCGTACATGTTTTGTTTTGGTGCCAGTTTTGTTCTTTTTCAATCCGGCCCAACTCTTAATTTGGAAGATTAGGGCTCGTGTGATCCCAACTCCCGAGTCTGTAACAAGTGTTTTGCGCAGATCAGGTTGGATAGTAGGGGGCCTGTATTTATGCTGGTTTTGAGGCTGCAGCTATTGGATTGTGAATGAATTGTGCTAGTTTGGTTTTTCCATCTTTTTTTTTTGTGTCTTGGATAGCTTTGTGGTAGATTATGTTTTAGCATAGGAAAGGAAGCACTTAAACTCTCTAAAGAGAGAATTGTGTTGGAGGTAACTCCTCCTTGTATTTGTTTCTTGTCACTTTGATGTTTTATGAATTGCATTTAAAAAAAAAGTTTAAATTGTATTTAAAAAATAAAAATAACAAATAAACGAGAGGGAAAATGGTGATATTTTAATTTTCATCGAATCTCTCAAAAATCTCTGGCGTGGTGAGGGACAAGAAGGGTCATTTGTCCCGCTCCATCTCAAAACTTCAACATATTTGAAACTTAATATTAATAGTTATCATTTTTGTTTCACAAATTTATAAATTATTTTTCAATTGGTATTAATCATTTCAGTAGAAGTATCCATCATTTATTTTTATATATTTATAAATTATAAACGTTGTGTAATTTCTTCCCAAGTGGTTAATTGTCTACGAGTTTCAAATATGCTCCTCAACAAGATCAGAATGAACAGTGTACATCCCTAAAGGTAAGAAGTAAAAAATTAAAGGAATTTTGGAGGAGAACAGAAAATAGTTCATAGTTGTGGGACTTTGGATGTAATTTAAATGTAGGAAGACGGAGAAAAAAGATAAAAGAAGATGAAAAATAATACACAGGAGCTATCCATTACTACCTTTTGTTGAAGAAGAGAAACAATACTGCTACTACAAATTAATGAGTAGTATCCATGAAAAATGAGTCAAGTTCTGAATTTTCTCCAAGGACATCTGCTTTTTAACAATTTCAGTTCTCGAAATTGTGGGTTTTCACCTATACTGCTACCGCGTAAATCATGTTTTCCAAACCGAAAACGTGTTCAGATTTTTTTACTGCAAGGTTGATTTTTTTTTAGCTGTTTTTAACATCGCATTCTTGAATATTTCCATTTCTGTAACCAAATTTCAAAGTAGTCGTCACGTGAAATTCTTGTTGATTGTTTGTACAGTTAACAGTAAGCTGGTTAATCATATAGAGCAGTCACTTCCAGATAATAAGGTAAATACATTCTTTTTGGTTCAGATTTTGTTTTTCACTTCCTGAATTTTAATGCATTCATTTTTTTAATGGGTTGAGAATTGAATTTATGTTTGGTTTTAAATACTCATTGGGTAAAAGAATTAACTTGTTTGAACCAAACTAAGAAAAGGATTGAACTGGAAATAATGCTTGGCATTCTATCGAGTAAGATTTACATCAAATATCAGGCTAATATGAAAATCAATGGAAACGAAAATTGATAGACCTCTTCAAGGAGGACACACAATTAGAAAAAAATATGATATGATTTTTTCCCCCCTAGCTTCTTGTCATTTGAAAAAGAAAATATAAATGAAGTTTTGGACCAAAAAATTCTCAGTATTCTGAATGCGACTTTTTTATGACATAATTGAAAGTGGAGGCTGGTTATGCGTGGTTATTATATTGGCTATTGTGTTAACTTTAATTTGACCCAAAGTGGATCACTTTTAGGCCGAAGCTTGTGATAGAGATGGATTGTATTCCTTTCCTCATGTACAAACTCTTACAGAGTTCCCAAAGGAGGAACTGTTCAGAAAAGTTGTCATGGTCAGATTTGATTCGAGTATTCTGCTTCTGGGAAAGAAGGAATATCAGTCTCCACCAGCCAGTGCACTTTCCACCATTAAGTACTTGCACAATGCTGGTGCTAAAGTAATTCTAGTCGGTAGTTGGAGCTGGGATATCAATTTAAGGCTTTCTTCAGCAGAATTTGTTGCTGGTGTGACTATTCTTGCTTCTGATTTATTGATGACACTGCTTTTCACAGTTCATTTTTGGAATTAAATCTTGATTTCTCTTTCTGATGCTGTAAGTCCTGTGTTTCAGAATTTCTATCATTGATGCTCAAACTCAAAGTAGTTCCGATGAAATTAGTTTCACGAAGCATGCGTTCTCAGATGGAATATGGAGAGAGTTCAGATGTCCTTCTGCTAGAAAATCTCTCTGACATTAAAATGGAACTAGCCAATTGTTCAAAGTTTGCCAAAGAACTTGCATCTGGTGTTGATATATTTGTTAATGATGCATTTTCTCAATCTCATAAAGTTCTTGCTTCAACGGTCGGTGTTGCTTGCTTCTGCTCTGCCTGCATTGCTGGATTTTACTTTGAGGAAGGCGTCTATCAACTAAAAAATATCACCATGACCACCGACAGACCCTATGTTTCTATAGTATCCATCTAGTCCCTACGTTCTAGAATTTATGCTTTGAATTATCGAGGGATATTTGTTTCGCCGATCTCTTGCAATAACACTTCAATTTCCAATGCAGATAGGCGGACATAACCTAGCTGGCAAAGCAGCTGCCTTGCGATTTTTAGCATCTAAATGTGATGCTTTAGTCTTTGTAGGCAGTATGGCCTTTCAAATAATGCATGCCATGGGAGTTCCGGTTCCTGTTAAATTGGTGGAACTTGGAGCACTCCAAGAAGCTGTCAGTATAGTAGAGTCTGCAAATTCTAGGAATGTACCTATTGTGTTGCCAAAAGATTTTTTGTGCACAAACGATGTTTTTCCCGAGCAACTGGAGATATTTTCCATAAATTCTATGGTTGATGGTAAAGTCACAATTTTTAAACCTGAGCATGCAATTGTCTATTAGTTTAAGATTTTTCGAGTTTTAGAATGCACATCATGATGGATTATGAAAGCATTGTGCATGCTAATGCTTAATAAGTTTAAAAATTTTGTCAATCACCATTTTGGGTAACGAAGTGTTTAATATTTTTCTATTCCCCAATTACTTTCCTTTCAGGTTGGCTACCTGTTGATCTTGGACCATTGTCCTTAAAAGAAATCATCCCTTTGCTTTCAAAATGCAAGGTGCTTATCTAGTTCTTAAAATATTGCAAAATAAAATTAACTTTCCCCTTCTAATTCACTTCTTGAATATAAAAGTATGATGTGTCTGGAAAATCAAAGAGTGATTAATAGCACCAGATTTGCTAAGTGATAAAGTTGAAAATAGAAATTAATTAGCTACATGGAAGAAAATAAAAATACAAGATAAAATTGTGAACTAATAGGTCTGATATTTATACGTGATTAAGTAGTGCCACGGGCTAGCTGTCCTATTGCCTTTCTGAGGTGCTTTTAGTCAATAGGAAAGGCTGATCTTCTCATGAACAAGGAGGAACTAAAACACTACACATAGCCAGAATTTATAATTCTTTCGCTGTTTTTAATATTCCCTACACAATTATTAACCTTTCCTTTCTTTTGAATGTAGACGTGCTGTACTTTTACTTATATGTATACAGGGATAATTAAGTACGTATCTATCCTGACATGTATTTTCAGTGGATGAGCTCTACTTGAGTACTCACCTATGTGTTGTTTTTCATTTGGAATGAAAAGTGGAATGAAATTGCATGCTTTTTCCTGCTTATGCTGTGTTCTGCTGACTTCATTACTATATCTATTCGTTTTCACTTTTTTTTTTTATCTTTTTGGATTTTCCAGAAAATATTGTGCATTGGTCCCTTGAAATTCAGCTCCTCAAGACAGGAAGAAGGTGGAATATCTAAATTGGCAGAAGTGCTTGGTAGTCTAAGTCAAAGCACTTGCGACGTAACATTTGTTGGGAAAATGGGATCTGGAGAATTATTGAGAAAATCAACCTCTATTTCAGTTGATAATTTCGTCAAAAATGCTTCGGTTGTGTGGGAATTTCTCAAAGGAAGAAGGCTTCCTGGGCTTATGGCATTGGATAGAGTATGCATTCTAAATTCTATTTTCAGTCTTCTATTATTGCATTACAATGATTCTCAAATAATGGAGATTGGGGATGTACTCATTTGTTGCTAATGAATTAAATGATTCTGCCATCTTGTTTCCCATGTTTCAGAAGGCACGTCTAAACTTCTCATAGGATATTATTTTGTTTGTCCTTAAACTACTGCAACCACATAAACCTATAAACAGCTAATGGATAAACTGTAAATTTACGGATTCTAAAACTATAAAGGAACATTTTTCATTGGTATTGTTGTGGTTGATAAAAGTTATCTGACCTTTTCTGCTGAACTGTCTTTATATACTCACTTGTGTTATTACGTACAAGTTACTAATTGTATGGGACAGTGAGGCATAATAGTCATTTCCAGTCCCAAGAAAATCAAAAAAGGAAAAGGATAGAGTCCTGTACTAACAAGAAACAAAATGTTTCTTTCAATGAAAATAATGACTATAAGATTCTTTGTTATAGAACTTTTGACAATGAACCTTTTTAGTTGATTGGACTTTGCCTGTTTGTTGTTGTTCCCTTGAAAATTGAATTGGATTTCTGGGGTTGTGCTGTATCAGAGATTCAGAATTGATCTGAGAAGTTAGATTGAAGTATCATCATCATTGCAGTCAACTTTATTGTCATTTTTCCAATCAATTATTGTGACTGTTGTTATAAATAATTGCTGTTGTTGCCCATTATAAGTTGACGATGGTTGTCTTTTGTGCTTACATATTATTCATTGTAAAGTAGTATATATCACGTGTGTATCAATATATGTATGCAAGAGCACACTAAGGATGATAATTGTACATAAAAAATATTTCTTAAAAATTGAAGACCGTTGATAATGGTGCTGGTTTTGATAAATTTTGAAGCATTACATACCAGTCAATTTCATCTTCTTGAATATTTGATCTGTGCAGGCATACCCATTTGATATAAACTGGGATATTGCTTATGCTGATCCAATGCGACCTCTAATTGTCGATGTTGGTAGCGGTAAGTTTTACAAGACTGTCCTGATATTTTTCCTCAATATAATTTTAGTTTTCTGGGTTAGTATTGATGTATAATGCTGGTTATATATTCACACTGCATCAATATTTTCATCCATCAATTGCCTGTTTATGATGAGGGTTGCTACACACAACAGAAAAAGGGGGTGAACAATCTTTCCTGATTTCAATCTAAAACAATCTGAAGGCTGGGAAACTGTTTATCTAAGCATACATATCATAGTCTAATTACCAATCTCTAGAGCATTCTCAAAGTTTCATTTCATATGCGTCATGATCAAGCTGACAGTGGTTCTTCATCAATGCAAAACTTTGCAAGTAGGTTTCTTATGTACACATGATTATTGTTCCAGCGTTAGATTCCATTTGGCCCCAAAAGCTCCTTGTATTCCTAATCAGTCCATGCAACCCACAAATTGTACTGTAAAATTTTATTCTTTGATCCTTACTAACTGCAAATCTTTTTCAACCTAGTGCTCAGGGTTTCTCTATGTTCATATCCACCAAAAGATGTAAAAAGGAAACTTCTCCCAAATCAGTTCTCTTTTCACACCCTGCTATATATAATTCATATTTGAGGTGCACTTCTTCTTCTTCTTTTTTTTTTTTTGATGCATTGCTCAAAAGATGCCAGAGAACGAGGAAATTGTAGCTCCACAATCACCTTTACTGACAGTGCTAAGTTTGATACACTGTCTCTCTATATTCTCTCGTGTATAATATGATCACGGATTTCTTCAACCAAGCAAAAAAGCATGCCTTGCAAAGTGATTGTCTTCAGTATTGTGTAAATATCAGGCTAGAGGGAATTTTTTTGGGGGTCCCACAGGTATTCTTCAAAATAATGCCTATATCTTAAAAGCTTTAGGCTTTACCCGCTCTTTGAAGAACAGTTGACAATTTATCAGAAAAGGAATCTAATGGGATTTAGAGCTTGTTTGAGAGAGATTTTAATCCAATTAAAATTGAAAATATAGTCGTTGTTGGGTCTCATTCATCTAATAAAAGTCAACAATAACGGTTCTTTTTCAATTTTAATTCAATTTTAATCTCGACCAAACAAGCTCTTAATACCTCCTCTTAAATTAGGGATTTCATATCACATAAGCCCTCAATAGCAAGAAGCTAAACTAATGTGCTTGAATTTTTCTATGTGGTTTTCACTTTTTCTATGCAATGGAACTCAAGGAAATTGCTCGCATTTTTTCATTTAAATCTGGAGTGACCAGATAGCTAAGCCGACACATCAATTTTTATTACTGTTGGTTCAGCTTATGGAATGCTTCTTTTATGGGGACAATCGAATTCAAATTCTTATAGATGTTATTTAGGAACTGGTACTAAGTTGATGTTTGGATTAATTTGGCAGACTTTATTTAGCCCCTATTTGGTAGAGATTAAAATCTAGATTTTAATTTAACTCACAGTTAATAATTAATTTTAACCACATATTTCATGGGATCCACAACTTTTCAACCACACATTTCATAAACTTTTATCAAAATTTGAATTTTAATCCCCGCCAAACAAGGGCTTAGTAAGGTCTTACATTTCCTAGACTGGGAGGTCTTGTCTTACTGATATAGGCTGACATTTACACTACCTGAGAAAATGTGGGCATTGGACATGTTTAAAAAAATGAGAAAGAAAAGTTAGTCATCTGGGTTTGAAAACAATCTTTTGGCCGTTCATAATGTACAGAGGCAGATGCCATGTAGTTTTCTGGATCAGCTTAACATGCAGATATTATATTTTCTTTTGCAGAATGTCTAATTTACCTTCAGGACTTCTGCTGCTTTCTAAAAAAGAAAGATAATAAACTAGAAGTTCTAGTTTCGAGTGTTTCAGGTTCTCTTGTAGTTTATTTTGGCCATCTAAATTTTAGCTGGTTAGTTAAATGGATTATTTTGGAAAAGACATAATTTGGGTAATTGGATAATCTGGAAAGTACTTCTCTCTGTATTTAGAGTTATGTTATCTGCAGGCGTAACTGGTAAGACTCATATTTATGTTTGAAACTCTTTGGTAGATGAAGTATATATTACCAACTTAAATGGTCGACAATCTTTTGGTCTTTTTTGTTGCAAGAAATATTGGTACTATTAGAGTGTTTCAGGAATCTAGGTGAGAAATTATCTTGGCCCTAGTGGAGTATTTGAGAATCTAGGGACAAATTATATTGGTAGCAATTTTGTGTGATTCACGCACTGAGGGAGACATATTGTCAGAAAGGAGATTGTCGACAGTCATGATGATTCACAAGTACTTGGCTTTGTGGTTTTTTTTCTGTTTACACACCTTTTAGTCTATAAATACATAACGTGAGCTCTAAGCACGAATTCACACAAGTTAAATCTATAATTGCATAATTATGAACTCTGTGCTTTGGGAAATCAACACAAGCAATTAAAGTGTGTTCACAAATGACAGGTAATGGCTTGTTTCTATTTGGAATGGCCAAGAGTCGGAAACATCTGAATTTTCTTGGGCTGGAGATAAATGCGAAGGTCCTTTTGTTCTTCTGTGAAAATAATTCTTCCTGGATAGCTAAGAACTTAATGATTCCTAGATCCTGTTTCTTTTTCAGTTGGTGAAGCGCTGTCTAGATCATCTTCATCATTCTGCATTGCAGAACGGGTATGCTATTTTTTCCCCCTAATTCTGCTTATACCTTGGGCTTAATTTAATTTTTTTTTATAAAGTACATTCAAGCTTAGGTAAGGGTTATAGGATAAATTTACCAGCCTTTTATAACCATAATTATGTCAGGCTTATAAATCAGCCTGCTTCTTTGACCCTTTATGCAAAAACGAAAAGTGATAATTACTATTGAATACCATTGATTTTGTCATATCAATGCATGCTCGGCTGTAATTATGTCCTTGTGCTACACTCAACACTGCAAGTCCAAGCTGTCCTGTATTTAGACTGATTGCTGCTCCTGCACCATCATCACCAAAAAAGAGAAGAAGAGAGAAAGGAACACTGGAAAAGGAATAAAAGAGAAGAAACCTTTTTCTACATGGAAATTGGATGAAGCTTGACAACTCCAAGTAATTATGCACATGTCAGTTAATGTGTATGATCTCTTTCTAGGTCTTTCTTTTGTCCTCTGAGTGGTAGTTCTGTACCTAGTAAGCACAGTTGAACATTAACCTTGGACATTGTTTGATTGAAAACAAGATGCCAAGAACTATTTAAACAACAAAATTGGTCCATAACCTTTTCTAAATTCGGGATTGTATTCTGTTCAGGCCATAAAATATCCTACCCTGAATTGGTGGAGAGGGAATGGCTCACCAGATCTGGACGTGTCTTTTACTTAGTGAGAAGCTCTTACGATTATTATTTGTGGGTCTTGTAGGTACTTTATTACAACAAATGCAACATCAACATTTCGGTCCATAGTTTCCAGTTACCCTGGAGATTTGGTTATGGTATCAATACAGGTAATACAAGTGTGTATGTTCCGCCAAAGCCTTCTAGAAAGCAGGCTCACATACATTGTTGAATTGTATAGTTCATGTAATAATTGGGCTTTTCAATTCTTGGATAAGATTCCTATATATGTTTGTCGTGGTAAGAATCCATGTATGTTGCATGGGGCATTGATAGAGATAAAAAATTGTTTGAGTTCCAGTGGAGTTGCTTTCACAATACTCCTGTGGATTGCATTCATTCTTTTTGTTTCTTTCAAGCCCTTTAGTCAAGACTGAGGCATTGACATTTCTTCTATGCCATATTGCTATGTTCTACCTTTCCATATACATATGATCATGTCAACTGGTCACATATGGATACTGTTTTTTACAAAAGCAAGAGTTTTTTAAACAACCATGCTTGATGTACATCCTATTTGACAGCTTCTTTGACAGAATGACTGTCATTGGACAGTTTTTTTTGTTTTTTCATCCAATAAAATATTGTCAACACACTTTTCTGTCAACAAGGTGGTAAAAAGTGATGTACGAATAGCAAAATCCTTTTTCAAATGCAGTGTCCAAATCCTGACTTCAACAAGCCAGAACACCGTTGGAGAATGTTGCAGAGGTCATTAGTTGAAGCAATTGCAGATTTGCTTATATTTGGTGGAAAGGTAAAAAATAGTTGCCATGCCACTACCCTTTGGGGACTAATGCTTTTCTTTTGGTAACTGGACACAATTTTTGTTACTTTGTCAATTATTCGGTTTATTATTACATCAATTGGTGGAACTGAAATTGGTATTTCAATCAGCATCAGATTAGTGGAGATTCAAAAGATGCAACTTCTGAACCGAGAATTTTTTTATTTTTTTTTTCTCTGTGTAATTCTGAACTGACTGAGACGCAAAATTCGTGATTTGAATAATAATGTGCATTGAAAATGTCTTCCTCCTGTACAGAGGATATGTTGAACAAACAATCATCTGGCCATGATCCCCTTCACTTTAGTCCATTGGACGACCATTCAGATGATTACAGGATCCAGTAATAATTTAATAACCAACCACAAAATATGTTACCTTTTTGTTCGGAGATCAATGGTGTTTTTACTATACTGCACCGTGATTGTGCAGGTATTTCTCCAATCTGACATAGAAGCTGTCGCGTTGAGAATGAAAAAAGAGTTTATAGAATACAGCAAGGGAAAGCTCGTGGTTGTGCATGATTCAGAAACCGATTCAGTTCAGCAAAGAGGATGGCTGATGGAGAATCCTTTTGGGGTTCGATCCGATTGGGAACAACACGTGTTAGATCGGGGTGATCCTATGTATAGACTATTGCTTTCTAAAGTGGAAAACTGAGGCTAAAATAATTCACTGAATGCAACCACACCGTGGACTGCTTATTTCTCTAGAAGTTGTCTTTGGAGAAGTATTCTTGTGGCGCAGTGGCTATTCATATTTCTTTTGAGGTAAACCTCTTTTCTTTTCTCCAGTTATGGGTACTTTATGGGAAGATTTTAATCTTTGCCGAGGAATTTTCCTTACCAAGTTAAACCTATCCTCTTTTTACTTGCTCCCAGAAATTGTTGCACTACATCTACAGTCTTTTTCTTTCTACTATTTGACATGCGAAAGACAATGATATAGGCCTTCGTTTTCGTTTCTTAACAGAAGTCTCGATTTTTTGAGCTAATATTCACATGAATTTCACGATTTCATGTAGATGTTGGTTGGAGTTGTTATGGACTGAGTTCCACAAGATGGCACCAGACAATTGACATAAAAAAAGACGCGGGATTACCCAACAAAGGCTCTCTACTGCTCTAGTTAGCCAGGGTTTCAGACGAGAAGATAGACAACAGAACGCTCATATGCATGAATTGTTGAGTGACAATGTAAAAAATACAATTACAAGCATGGTATATTTGACAAAATTTCAGGAACAAGATTTTTTTTGTTTATTTTTCTTCTTTAATATTGTCAAATACCCTTACCAAACAAACTCTACATATATATGGGCCCGTTTGTCCAAAAACTGCTTGAAGCTAAGAAGTTATTTTTGTACTCAACCATTGTCTGTAAATGGGAAAGTGAGATGTTTTAAGAAGTGTTGTACAGTCTCAATTAAAGGCCCTATTGTTGCCCTTGCCCAACAGGCCCACTCTGGCCCAGTTACCTCCATCACCTAAAGTAGCTTAATCTCCTTATAAACTAAAATGACCAATATACAATCATCAAGGCCTCTTAAGAGACGACCTTTCAACTAGAATCTCTTAATTGGGAGCCACACCTTCATCCAAATCTTACGATGATTCTTCTTGAGCATTTACATGGCTAAATTTGAGACATTACTCTAATACATGAGTAACCAGATTCCTTCATAAAGGCTCGAGATAAATTACTGAAAGTTCTAGACAATACTAAATACAATTAAACTAAAATCTTAAAGCTTAGACTGATAAATCGTACTTTTCATTTCTAGGTCACATGTAAAGGGGCTAGTGCAATAGGCGTTGTTGACGACGACTATTGTACTACTTGAATTATTTCGGTTTCTGTATAATTTTGTGGTGGAATAACAAACACGCTCTTGGCCTAGATAAATGTATACATGGTGAAATGTGGAATTGGTTCAACCCAAGAAATTTTGATACTATTGAGAGATGGAGGGAACATGGTATGTCGGCAGCATATGTAATTTCAAGGTTGATTGGCAATGAAGATAAGAAAATATCAAATCAATTCAAATCATATCATATAGACCACAAGACAACATCATTATTAAGATAACACATGATGTCCTGCTACTAAGAATTGCTCATGTTGGGAAGCACCTTGTACCCCTAACCCTAACACCTTATTATTATTATTATTTTAAAAGCTCGGTTAGCAAATTTCATTGGCCACGAACTTGAGAATCTATATGGGTTTGTTCGTTTCTACGATATGATTTTTCAATAGTCAAAAATTGGAGTTTCAAGTTTGTGACTTGCGAAAGGTCAATGTAATAGAGCTCAAAGAATTTTTTTGATGAATGGCATTTTAAATCTTTAAATAAAATGAGATAGATTTGACTCTCTACAACCGCAGAACCAAACAAATAGATTGATTGAGTATTAATCAAGCTCTCCAAGAAGCAACTGAGCCATTGGCCATGAGCAAGCAAAAGAATAAGAATCGTCGTACGTGTGAAAGCACGAATAGATCTTTGGAAAGGCTGGTTTGTAGCCTAAAGTAAAATTTGGGTAAAAGAAATATCATTTTACCTCAACCAAATCTTTCTACATTTTACTTCAGGACATTAACCTTAGAACATAACGAGCACACTCAAAACATGTTCTTAGCCCTCTCTGAAATAAGGATATATTTTTAGTTCAAACTGTGTACGGTCGAAGCATTCTTCAAATGCAAGTAATTACGTAAATAGAGTTAAAACTGCAACACGAAACACAGTAAAATAAATAAATAGTCAATAGATGGGCTAAAAATAGTAAAAAGGGAGAGGAGTGGGTCCTTTTTCTTCCTTTCCTTTGCAAGTCCATTTTCGACTGAAAAAGCTGGCAATAACCTGCACCGCCTCTCATCTCTTGTAGTTGGCTTTTCTCCATGGATAAGACACCTATAAGTGTAATGTCAGAATGCACGTGTTCACATTCCCCCCTGCTTCCGTTTACCAAATGAATAATTCTTCGTAGCTGGCCGCCCTGTATCCAGTACAATGTTTAATTATTTATGGAAAGCAAGTTTAATGTTAATATTTATTTAGGGTAAATTTTGTGGAAAATAATTCTTTTTGAAGAATTTTTGGTTAAAAGTAAGAAAAAGTTAGGAATTCAGGTACAAAATTATTTTATTAGAAAAATTTATTATTGAAAATGAGTTTTAAAGAATCTAGTAGAAATATCTTGTTTTGTAATTATTTTTTTTATGGAGTTTCTTGATGGACTAGTGAAGTTCGATTGGCGAAGTCAGAATTTTCCTTTAGAGGCTTGATTTTTTATGATGCATATTACGAATTGATAAAAAAAAAAAAAGAGCGAGTTCAGAAGAACGAGTCAAGGGTGGTTGTTAAAAATGTATTTAATAATTCATTTTTTGTCTTTTAATATTCTCATTTTGACGTTACGTCTTTCGACTTCTTTTACAGACTCTTTTACCACTTGTTATTCTAATTAGTACCATGTTAAAGTAGCCCTCGGGGCATAGCTTAATGGTGCAAAGGATAAGAGTGAAGTAGTCTCAATTGAGCTGATAATCGCAGTGTGAGAGTTCGATTCCTGCCTCTTACAAGGTATAGAATTAGACTCTTTGTGAACATCAGCATGACAGCTGTTGTATCATGACCTGTTGAGGTATATCCTACGATTTACCTCCTCCACAATATTCTAGGGGCGGGGTTTAACCTTTTTAGTACCATGTTAAAGTATTCATGACAAATTGCGCAACACCTTTTTTTGGATTGAAAAAAAAACCCAATAATTGCTAGATCAAAATAACGGTCCAAAAATGACCTCTATAAATAAATTAATTTTTTTATCATATAATTCTCATTTTAATGTTATCTTTCCAGCTTATTTTTGGATTATATTCTTCACTCATCAGAATAGATTCTTAGCATCGTTTGGAAATATGCATATAAAATTTTGAACAAAGAAAAGGTTTTCGATTTTGTAATTCATATAATTAGCTAAAAATATTTATACCACTTCAAATAACCATGTCATTCTCAATTTAAACTTTAGATCACCCTAAATTCTAATTATAATCCCATTGGTGCACACATATAGCCCCGTTTGGGTTAGTTAAAATAATTTACAAAAATTTAAGGTAAGTTCAACGATTAGTTTTAATAACATATTTCATGAGAACCACAACTTTCATCAAATTTTTACCACACATTTTATGAACATTTATCAAAATTTACTAAAAATTTGAAAACTGCTCGACAACCATTTTGTTTGTTTTGGAATATTTTTTGAACGGTTTTACTCTTTAGTCCGACAATCCCACGAGTGTCATTTTAAGTTCAAATAAATGTTTTCTGGAGATGTTAGTTTTAAAAGAATGGGACGTGAGTGCAACAAATGATAGGTTGAGGATATAATGTCGTACTTACGAAAGATTACGACCCGTGATAGAATTTACCCTTATATTTTTACCAATACTTCAATGCAACTATGAGATCGGGAAAACTGACAAGGTGAAAAAGCCAACGTACGCTAAAATTCTACCTATAGTAGTATAAAACGTAGAAAGTGGGAGTTTTCATACGGAAGTCGGGTTTTGAGTTCACCAGAATTGGCAATTGGCTAAGGGGAAGAGGCTAACAAGTCAAATTTATTTGGGCCCAAATAGTACAAAAATTAAAGATGGACCGCACGTGTGGCGGAGAACAGAAAAAGTCACTGTAAAGGAGCTGCTACGTACGCGCACGCCCTCAAAGGATTCTCCTTGTCGGAAGACTGTACCCAATCCTACGTTTCTACTTTATTACAAGTTACTGTTTTCAAATTCCATTGAAAAAATTGAAAATCGATACAAATATTGAAAATAAAAGTTGGAGTGAGTTTCTCGTGGAAACATAGTTTCCGTGCCCGCTTTGATTCTTCAACGAAGCAGGGGTGACATATAGCGAGTCAGAGACGAAATATTTTGTCATCGTGTACATGAGTGATGTGTTGTGAAATGTTTGTCATTCAGAAGTGGTTATTAGTCATTTGATATATGTGATTAAAATTAAAGTTTGATTATGAATTCAATGAATTTTGAAGTTAAACAAACAAAATGAATAGGGCCGGGAAGCGATGTGAGCAGAGTGGGAGGGTGTCGATACATGAAGTATTTCTGTACTGAAGTACAATCAATGAACCACATGGTTAAAGTAAGTTTCAATTAATCAAAGATTATTGTGATTTATGCTTCGCGTATACAAATTGAAATTTGCAATTCGAACTGATGATCACGTTTTGAATTAAAATTCTTGCTTGCTTAACCTTGGCCCCAACATTAAATTAAATTTTTGTTTAACTAATTTTTTTTTCAAATAACTAGATTTGTTTAACTAAATCTTATGTATTCTGTTGCATACAAAGAAACACTGGGCAAGAAGGGTGGGAATTAAGGTTGCAAATTTACTATTAGAAGAGCTTAAAATTATCGAGTGATCCACAGAAATAATTCAAGAATGACTCTTCTCACCTTAACATTGACTACATTGTCCTGAATGACAAGACATCTACAGTTTTTTGTGTTGTTTTGGGGATCAAGAAAATTATTGTTCGGAAAGAAAAACTTTCTTCTACCAGTGTGGGGTACTCAATACTCCGTACTAATATTTAAACCCTCTTCTGAGCCACGTATTTTTGGAGAACATAGGCTTTTAAGCCCCCGTTTGACACCTAATTTTTATCTCATTCTCATTTTTCTACAGTACTCATTTCTAACCATACATTCTCCAAATAAAATAATATTACACACAAACCCAAAAATTCTTCTTACTTTTTAATCAACATTATTCCCATCAATCACTATTCCACAATTTATTCTNAACCACACATTCTTTACATCAATCACTATTCAAAAACTCATTCTTCAAAAGAATGAGTGCCAAACACTCACTAAATATTGATTTTTTTTTTAAAATTGTGTGATTAAAAAAATGGAATTTTTTTTTTGACTTTACGTGTAAAATAATTTTATGATGGAATGTGTAATTGAAAATAAATTTTGAGAAAAAATGAGCTTTCACACAGCCTTATTTGGTATGTCGTATACATGT